GTAAAATAAAAGTAGAATATTCCCACTGTAAAAGGTAAGAAGCCACTATGGAGCATCAGTGGCATCACGTGTCCTCAGTATGTGGGTCATAAAGGGAATACAGAGCCATGCGGACCAATGAAATTGAAATGAAAGGGAAAGCAGCAAAATAATTAGGGAGACCACTGTCAAGAATACTCAGCATCTGGCAGGGTAGGTGGGAGAGACCAGAAAGAACTGATGTCTTTATCTTTTCTGTCAATGCAGCAAATCACCAGATTCTGAGAAAACTAAAGATTTATTTGTATCAGGTAGAACATCAAAGATTGGGCAGTTTTCCCAATTAGACCTCTGATGTTCTCCTGACATTTCAGTTGTGAGCCTACCCATTAATGGATGAACCATTAACCAGCCCCCTCTCATGCTCTCAAGGGAGGCAGCATTGCAATGGAACAAGTGTGCACTCCTGACATGATAAGAACCCAGACATATCCTAGGAAAACTCTTGCTCTTCTAGAATGACTTTCTCTAGAGGAACTGGCAATCCCATGAGAACTAAGCATCTCCTAGAGGTAACTCAACTTCCTAAATAGTCTCAATGAAGATCAGGTCTCCAGCACACACTCAATCCACCACTAAGCCATAACAGGCAGCCAGGAATGTTGGGAAATCAACCACATTTAAAGGCTCCAAAGCCAAAGATGCTGGTACTAAGTGGTCATAAATGATAGAGTCAAGAAAGGTCTAGTAGAATTTCATGGTGACAGGACAGCCTTAAGGGCCCTTTCCCAGTCACCCCAGCCTGGCTGACCATGCATAACTACACTTGAAAAAAATATACTCGTTAAGGTCAGCACAAATGGTGATTTGTGCCTTCAAAATGTGTGTGCCTTCCTGTGTTCATGACTCATATTGTGTAAGTGTGAAAACAAACACCAGTCTGGCCAACAAAGACTTCCCTCGGGTATCAGGAGGAATCTTCCCTTCCCAAGCTTCTCCCTTCTGTGGTAACCTAGCAGTCTCTTAAAGAAGTGTGAATTCTGGGTGTTTAGAAGCCTGTTTGCTCACAAAAAGATACCCACCATTGAGGATTTCATATTCTAGACAGACCGATGCACCATGAAATTCAAATCTGCTGTATGGGAGAGTAAGAGACGAAGAGAGAAAGAGGGAAGAGAATTTGAGCGATGAGGATAAAGATAAAAAGTGCCAGTCAGAGAGGGGGGGGACGCTGCAGTCACTGCACATGGGCTCGGCAGGAAGGACCTCACTACAGATGTGGTCCTGACTCAGGCCTACTCACAGCCCTTGTAAGTTGTGATCCACCACCCTTCCCTCCTACTGTGCCTACCACAAGGAAATCTGGGAAGGCACGGTCATGTGAGTGTGGCTGAGACCCAGGAGCCACAACTCATCTTGGCATGACTGTTGCACCCTAAAAGCCTGCCAAAGTGCAGCTGTCCCTCAGATCAGCTCTAAGGACAGGAAATGAAAACACTTTGACCTTCCCTAAGAGGGGAAATAACTCAGCTCCATGAATACACCTGAAAGGAAAGAAATGAACCCAATAAGCTGCTATACAAATGCCACTGCTCATGTCCAACTGGGACAGCATAAATCCCTCTGCGGACACTCTGCCACATATGAGGGGGGCATTCACAAAGCCGGTGTGGAGCAGAGAAATACTTGGCTCATTTATAGGTGATATAAATAAAATTCCTGCCATTTAACATGTACGATACTAACATTTTCATAATTGTAATATGCCTGCCTAATCACATAGGTGTGTCCTCTGCTGTGGTCCTACACTGTCCAGGGATTTCTACACTGCAATTAGGCTGTAAAGGTACTATCATTGGAACAATGTCCAAACAGGGGGCGCTCAAAGCCACTCTAAACATGTGCCACAGGCCTCTGAGGTTCTTCATGGACCTTTGCAGGTAACAAATAATCATGCTTCAGCCAGTTCTCCCATGGACACCAGGGTTATTGGATAAGAAAATGAGACTACACTGTGCTGGGACAGGAACCAAGGATTCATGAATCCATATTCAACGCCAACATGCTTTCACAGTTTCGTCCCGGGACAACAGGATGAGCAGAGCTCTCCTTTCTTCCCTCCCCTTCTCCTGTCTGCAAATCTCTTCTACCTAAATGAAGGAAACATTCATTCTTGGCCTTTTACACAGATTGATGTTGGGGACAGAGATGAAGCCTGGTCACACCATGGCTATGTTCTGCCTGCTGGATGAACAATCACCAGACAGCCAGAGCCATCTACATAAGAGCACAGTAATAATACTATATTTTAATCTTTGCAGTCCGTTAGAGAGGCATCCATTAATGAAGCTGTCCCTCAGAGTTGTCTGTTAGAGGAGTTCCCTGCCTACCCTTGCCCAGAATTCTCTGTTCCCACTGTAATCTTCAGTGACATCTCAATTGGCACATGGTCTCTAGAAATCCACAATCCCATAGTGATGGTCCTTCCTCCATGTGCCAATAGTCTTCTCTGCCTTTGTTCCTTTCTGATGTACCAATGGTCCTTTCTCCATGTGCCAATGGACCCCTCTCTGTATGCCAGCAGTCTATCTTCCCTGGGTCAATGTCCTCCTTGTTGTCACAATCACTCTTCCATGTGTAATGAACCAGGTCTCTGTGAGAGATGCCCCCAAACACACACACAATGACTCTGGATACAACTATCCTTGTTTCCTCTTCCATCCACTCAGTTGTAACTCACCAGTGTCCTCACAGTGTAGCCTTATAAAGGACACATGTATAACTCTGTTTTTTCTTTCCAGGCAGGAGACCCTTGCATTAGAAAAGACATTTCGCCTGAAAGGATACATAGATAAGTATATGGAGAAATTATTATTTACTATTACAAATGTAATTATAATAACAAAATAATGTGTGTAAAGCATAAATAATTGTCCAGTGAGACACTGCCCATGCAGTGAGCCATGTCCCTCATCCACTGCTGATGAGAGCAAAATGCAGGCTGCTGTAGAGCAGAGGACAGCAGGGCTTACAAATGAACCTGCACTGCACTGCTGCAGCTTAATTTGCAAGGTCCCAGGACATGCATTAGAAGCTTGCTCAAGCCTTCTGGGACACTTAAGAAGTGGGGTCAACTTGGAGGTGCTAGGTCCTTGACGAGGCTGATTCTGGGTGCTTTTGAAGGGGCTGTGGTGTCCTCTTTGTCTTACATTCCAGCCATCATGAGGCAAGCATTGTGGCTACCTCACAGTCCCTGCACTCATGGATTGCCTCACCATGACAAGACGGCCAAGCAATCATTAACTTATGTCCTCAAAATTGATAGGAAATGAACCCTTTCTAGTTTTTCATTTTGCAGTAAAGGGGATTGAACTCAGGGCCCCGTTTGCTAAGGAAGTACTCTACCACTGATCTACGCCTCCAGCAGCCTATCCTCTTTTCTCTGTAGTGTGTATGTGTGTGTGTGTGTGTGTGTGTGCGCGCGCGCGTGCGTGTCGCAGTGTGTGGTGTGTGTGTGTCTTATGATGTAATGTGGAGGTCAGAGAACATCTTGTAGGCATTGGATCCCAGCTTCCATCACGTGGTTTCTGTGGACCGACCTCAGGTCATCAAGCTTGTTCCAAGGGAAAGGTCATCAGGATGCTTGGCAGCAAGCGCCTTTACCAGCTGAGCCAGGTTGCCTGCCCACCTACCCTCTTTTTCAACAGACAGTCTTGGGTATTTTGTTTCATTGCCAGAAGGAGGCTAACCCATGTTTGGACACATATGATCTTGGAGTAGTCGAAAGAAATTAACTATTGATTCTTGCAAATACTTAGATGGATTTGAAATGTTGCTGAGGAACAATATACATCCTGCATTATAGACTTTCTCCTGTTATATAATACTCTGATAACGAAAAATATCCCAATATTATGGAGTTGCAGATTATCAGTTCCAAAAGAAACTCAAGACAAATGGCAATATGTGGTTCCTATTAGCATAGCAAAGCACACGCTGGCCTCCAGGGGCACTCAGTATCTGTGGCTCTTCTCACCCCACCCCTACCCAAAACTTCTTAAGTTCCTGGGCTTCCTACCCTCCCTTCCTATATAACCCTGTCATTGCATGCTATCACTCCCTTGGTCATCTTTTGTTTTCTTCTCCTCCTCTCTGAAGGTCTCCACCTCCTGTCTCCTCTCATGGCCTGGTCCAAATGCAGGCCATGCTTAGTCTACTGCTTTCTCTCCCTGCTCTGAACTCTTCCAGACGCCTCTGGCTGTGCTCTCCCTCATCTCAACAATATACCCTTCCCCTCACAACCATACCTTGGAGTTTCTGTGTCCTCACTTTATACACAGATGGAATTAATGGTTGACAGATAAATTGGGTGAGGGAGAAGAATTCTTTAAGAGGGAACCATGATGACTCCTTGTTGTAGGATTGTGTACATCTTGATAGAGATCACAAAAGCACATGAGACATACAACTGCACAGAACTAAATACACAGACAAAAGCAGCAGCATGTAAATATAGGAAACCCACGGAAGGTTTGTGACCAATCTCCATCTCCCTGGGGTATTGAACTGGTCATGAATGTTCTTATCATGAGGGAGAATTTGGAAAGGGGATGTACGATCTCTAGGTATCAACATATAAGATTTTAAAGGTGACTTGATTATAGCATGCTAGTAACTAAAAACAAATAACATAAGAAAAGAAAACAAAATAAACTTGGTGAGTAGCTTTGTACGTCAAAGAGTCAATTCTTGATCTTGTGATTTCTAAATTGACTTTCCCAGGAAATTGCTTTTTTTGTAATCTTGAAAGATTTGATAAGGAACAAGGTGAAGTACAAAAAGAAGACAGCAGTGAGACAAGAGAAGATCACTTGAGTGTCCAGAGGGACTGCCACCCCTTTATCCCAGGTGTCCGTAGCCTATTCCTTGGGTGCTTTTCTTTCATAAACAAGAGAGTAAGTTCTGGTGGAATGGTGTGATGTCATCAGTGTCTTCAGAATGTTTGAGCTCACTTAGCTACAGCCAGTGCTCTCCTCACATTTGTGAGACTGAGCCCTGGCTAAGCTCTGAGAAAGCCATGAGGAGCTAGATCTTGAGGGAGCTGAGCAGGTGCTCAAATGGTGAGTGTCAACCAATGCCAAGCTAGACTGAATGTCAGGGTTCAACTACATCCCTTCAGAGAGAATAGAAAGTGTGTCAAGATGCCCTGGTGATTGGATGGAATGGAAACAGGTTTTAGAGCAAGGAAAACAGAGACATAATGTGAACAAAAGGGAGGATAAAGTGAAAGTGGGGAGGATGATCGAGGGGAGTCTTGTCTACCAATGACTGTCCTTGATAAAGAGGCAAAAGAAAGATGACGTGGGCCACATAGATGTCAGAGCAGGTATGTGCCCATCATCCCTGGACACTGAGGTCTCTTTATTAAGAGCCAGTGGCAGCCGAGTGAATACTTGCCACTCTGTCCTCAAAAGGAGATCAATTCCTGAGTAATGGTCAGTAAGCAGCCAGGATTCCCGCTGAGGCCACATCTATGATTACTGAGATGCTTCTGTCCTCACAGATACCCAGGAGAGCAACCTGCAGGCCTCAAGCACAGCCACCTCTGGTGTTTTATAATGTTTTGGTAGCATCATATTGCTTATACATGTTTGTTATAATATTTCTACTACATTTCTATTATGTTAATTTGGATATATTATTTGAATCATAATGGTTTTGTTACATTATTTTTATGATAGTGTTTAAGATAAGTTATTTTGTTTATGTTATTTTTGTTACAAAACTTTAATTATTATATCTGTTTATATTATTTTGCTAATAATTTTCTTTGTATTATTTTATTGTAATGGTTGGTGATCTTATTTGTTTAGGTTATTTTGATTGTAATATATTGGTTATATTATTTAAATTACATTATTAAATTACATTACATATTACATATATACTATTTTCATTCTAAAATTTTATGATAATATTTCAGTAATACTGTCTTGGTTATATTATTATGCTTACAATGTTTGGTTCTAACATTATATGGTTTATATTATTTGTGTTACGACATTATTTGTATTAATAAAAGTGAATTACTTATTAGAAGGGCTCAGATTGATTCAGAAAGCAAAATCCAGTTCATGACTATTTGAGAGATAAAAAATGATTCCAACGGGTTAAAAGCAACATTGACAGCCAAGCATGGTGGTACATGCCTTTAATCCCAGGACTTGGGAGGCAGAGGCTGGAGGATCTCTGTGAGTTCGAGGCCAACCTGGTCTACAAACCTAGTTTCAGGACAGCCAGGGCTGCTACACAGAGAAACCTTGTCTCTGGAAAAAAAAAAGAGCAAGGTTGAGGGAGCAGCTGGCACATCAGGACTGCAAAGGAAAGAACCCAGGTTCAGAACTCCACCAGAGACTGTAAAGGACACAGGGAGAGAGAAAAGTCTCTCCATCTCAACTCCTGGGAATCAGGAGGGTAGCTAGGCATTAAACCACATTCATCCACACAAATTCATCTAAACTAGTTTGATTGAAAATAAGAACATGAGAGGTTATTACTATACCTAAATTCCACCTTCTACTTCAGAGCCATAACAATAAAAAAAAACAAAAACAAAAAATCAGCCTGGCACCTGTACAAAACACACAGGTTGATAAAACAGATGGCCCATGTGTAAGTACACATGGGTTTTTCTGTGTGTTTGGTGGCTGCACAAAAATCTACTGATATTTTAATTATCATATGAGGCCCCATGACCCTGCACTCAGTGTCCCACCACCCACTCAGGACACAGCCTGGTGGGGCATCTGGTGCCGCAACCTGACTCTGCTTTGAACACATATGTAGTTTAAATTAAGTCTCTATTGTTCTATTTACCAACAAAGAGTAGGAAGTCAAATGTGCAGGTGAAAACCTTCTAGATCAGAGAAGCCAAGAAGCAACCAGCTGACCTTGCTTTTTGGTGGGAGACATAGAAAGAGAAATGTCTCTTCCTTTGGCACAGGACCAAAAGGAGGTTCAAAGTGTATTTCCTGCCCTTCCTTGCTGGTGCATCTTCTCTATTCAAATTGTTGGCTTCTCTGTGGTTACTCTCAGCTATCACTGGTCCCTCCCCCTGACCGAGGTAAACTTTACTGACAGTCTGGACTGTCACAATACTATCAAAATATGGCACAACATTTCCCCCCTTTTGTCTAAATAAAAAGGAAAGATTTTTGAACTATAACATAACAAAACTATATACAATAATTACTATGATCAGGGAAGAATTATGTTTACAATATCAAGTCTGTTTATGGCAATTTCAGAGAAATGGCTCCATTATCTATCATATGTTTTGAATCTATAGTTCTAAACTATATTGTATCATAACTTGTACTACCATCCTAAATCTATAATTTAGACCTAAACACATCTTTTTAGATAAACAACTTGGATTTTTATGTTTTGCAACCTTATAAAATTTACATCTCTTATGTAAGCTTTTTTCTGAATTTATAACCAGGAAAACTGTAACTATAAACTATCTAGTCTTCAACCCCATTAAAAAACTGAGAATGATATATTACCTGAGTAAACAGGAAGTACAGAGCAAGTACTATCCAAAAACTACAGAAATGACAGAAACAATTGGCTGTCTTCAGTAATACTGGAACATCCATCTTCAGCCTACAAGCCTAGAATATCTGACAGAATTTTTTATAAAACAGGAATTTTGAAGGAATGTCCTACCTTGTCTTCACAAAGTTCAGCAGTCATTTTCTTTTGTATCATCCTTGTCCAATTTGGATACCATAGTGCAGCAGTCGAGGCAATTTGTCCAGTGTCCTAATTTGTCACAATGAAATCAAACTCCATATGAAGGTTCTTCTATACCCATCATCCTTTCTTGAAGTAAACTGGAGCTGCTAGAAGCAGCCATGGCTCCCTGTTATGAGAAGCCTTAGGTTATTAAAACATCTCAAATGCCATATTTTGTAAGTCTCTTAAGGGGTTTAAGATCATCTATCCAATATGTGAACACACACACACACACAAGTTATGTCCAACTAAGGCATGAATTCCTCTGCAGACACTCTGTCACATATGTTGGTGATATTCACAAAGTCGCTGGGGAATAGTCAAGCAACTGGATCTTTTATAGGAAACTTAAAGAAAATTCCTGCCTATTTAACATGTAAGATGGTAACATTTTTATAACTTTAATATGCCTGCCTAATCACATAGGTGTGATCTCTTCAGGGGTCCTACACTGTCCAGGGATTTCTACACTGCAACTGGGTGGCAAAGGTGCTACACTGCTACACTGCCCCAATAGGAGCACTCTAAGTCACTTTAAACATGTTCACAGGCCACCTGAGAGCCTGACCAGTTCTCATGGACCTTTGCAGGTAACAAATAAGGATGCCTGCAGTCAGTCCTTCCATGGACACCAGGGTACCTGGATAAGAAAATGACATTATGTTGTGTTAGTACAGGAACCAAGGATTCATGAAAGAAAAATCATGTTTGATCAAAGAAGACCCCCTGGGAAATCTCCAATAGGAGCCCAGATGTCTGAGTTCTACATCTAGAACAGATTCAAGACTGCTGCCTGAGATGATCAAGCTTCACAGGATACTCCAATCATGACTTGCTCATAATTATAAATTTTCTTTAGGTCCCCATAATATTATCAGTACCCCCAATCAACAAGAAGTAGACTTAAAATCTATGCCCACATTCCCAAAAAATAGACTATGTTTATTTTCCTCTGTTTAGAGTGTTGGTTACAAGTTGTTATGGATAATGATCAGGAGAAAAGTTAAAAAAAGATATTGGATTCAGTGTTCTTGTTTTTTTTTTAAAAAAAAAGGTGGGGGGAAGTGCTGTGGGACAATGGTCTTTTATTCTGTTACTTGTATTATTTTTAATAAAATGCCAATTGGCCAGTAGCCAGACAGGAAGTAGAGGAGAGGCAACAAGATTTCTGGGAAGAACGAAGTTTAATTTTAGAGTGATCCAGACTCAGAGGAAGCAAGAAATGACTGCCTTGCCAAATAAAGTACCGAGCCATGTGGCTAACATAGACAAGAATAATGGACTAATATAAAAGTTAATAAGAAGCCTGATCTAATGGATCAATCAGTTTACAATTACAAAAAGGAAAGAGAATCATGATGGTTCCTTGTGAAATATTCAATATGGAGTCTTAATATTAATTAGGTTAGTAGCTTGGGCTTGTTACTAGCTAACTCTTACATCTAAATTAACCCATATTTCTTATCTGTGCTATGCCTCATAGGTTGATATCTAGTCTCAGTACACCATGCCCGTCTTGCTTCTCTCTGTATCTGCTGGAAACTCCTGACTCCACCCTTCTTCCTCCCAGCAGTCTGAGTTTGGCTCTCCTGCCTAACCTTGTCCTGTTCAGGTATTGGCCAGTCATCTTCATTATTTAACCAATCAGAGTCATACATATTCATGGTGTATACAAGGATTATTCGACAGCATTTCACCATTATTGTCTAAGGTGGGTTTTAACCTTAACATGGTAAAAGTATATATAACAAAACAGTCATTAAGTAGGAACAACAGTTACAATAGACAATTCATTTGTACTTGGCAAAATTAGAGAAAATATTCTATTATTTATCGAATCTTTATGACTTTAAACATTTAAACATAATTTAACTATTATTATAACTACAGAAAACTTTAACTATGGCTATTCAGTCTTCAACTCTGTCAAAGACCCCAGAATGGTGAACTCTTGTTTAACACAGGGATATTTGGAAGCATGGATAGTTCATCCTATGTTTTTCTGAAAAGTTGAAACATCCAACTTTGGCCTACAGGTCTAGCATATCTGACAGACATTTCTGAGAAGGAATAAATTTGAAAGGATTGTCTTACCTTGTCTTGGCAAAGTTTGGCAGATGCCTTGTTTTCTGTCCTACTGGTCCAGTTTGGGAAGTACACTATTAGGAATTGAGAAAAGGGCAATTTCTTTGCCCAAGTACCTAGATTTTGCCATGAAGAAAACAAATTCCATGTGGAATTATTCAATGTTCATCATCTTCTCTGAAATAGATTGGTACTGCCAGAAACAGACATGTATCACTGTCAAGAAACGCTGTCAGTTACAAAACATATTAAATACCATATTCTGTAGGTCATTGAAGATCAACCATTTATCTAAATATATCTGTATATGACATTGAAAATATACGTAATATGACTTTAAGTTTGACTATTAAAGGCTATTAATCTGTATTTTTAAGTATACATTAATTTTAAATGAGTTACACAGCACAATATACCAAACAACAATAGAAATATACATATACTACAGCAAAAAATAACTTTAAACTTGTATCAATATACCAAAATCTAAGGAAAAAGAAGAAGTCTATAAAGATGGTAGCAGTGGGAAAAGAGAAGATCATTTCAGTGTCCAGAGGACACACCAGTCCTATACTCAGGATGTCCATGGACTGCTCCTTGGGTATGTTTCTTTAATAGATCAGAGAATAAGTTCTGGTGTGTAACATGAGGGCCAGCTCGTTGGGGTTTCTGTCCCGCCCAGTACCCCAACAAGCCAGCAAGTCCCAAGGAAAATCACACGGAGTCTACATCAGGTTATAAACTGATTGGCTCATTAGGTCAGGCTTCTTGTTAACTCTTATAACTTATATTAACCCATTATTCTCATCTATGTTAGCCATAATGGCTCAGTACCTTTTCCAGTGTGACAGCTTACATGTTGCTTCTTCAGTGATCTGCGCAGGAGTGCTGGAGGGACCTTCCTCCTCCATAACATTATTCTATTCTCTTTGCCCCGCCTCTACTTCCTGTCTGGTTGACCCACCTATACTGCCTGCCTGGCCAATCAGCGTTTTATTAAAATATGATTGACAGAATACAGATAATTCTCCCGCACCACTGGTGGAATGGTGTGATGTCATCAGTGTCTGCAGAATGTTTGAGCTCACTTGGCAACAGCCAGTCTCTCCTTACAGTTGTGAGACTGAGATTTGGGTAAGCTCTGAGAAAGCCTGTAGGGTCAAGAGCTTGAAAGAGTAGAGCAGGTGCTCACACAGGTGAGTGTCACCCTATGCCAAGCTAGACTGAATGTCAGGGCTCAACTACATTCCTTCAGAGAGTCTTAGAGCTGTGTCAGAGATTCCCCTGGGAGTCTCCAGATGGACAAAGGTGATATGATGAGAATGGAAACAGGTTTTAGTTTAAGGGAAACAGAGGATAGGGAGAAATGTAAACAAGGGGAGATGAATAAAAACAGGGAGGATGTTTAAAAAGAATCTTGTCTACCAAAGACTGCTGTTAGGACACAGCCATAAGGGAGATGATGTGGGACACAGGATCTATACGTTTAAGGAGATTTAACTACCTATGAATGTATAGTGGTTCATAGATATATAGAAAGAGGGATGACAAAGAAAACAGGTGTGTGAAGTCATCCAGCCTGACCCTACTGGAACATGACTGATGCTCAGTAGCCATTCTTACCATTGTAAAATCTAAGCAAGTCTAAGACACACACTAAGCAAGGCCAGAAATTACCTTTTGATGTATAAGGCAGTCAAATGAACGTCCTTACCTCACAGATTACAAAGACTAAGTAGGGACTTCTTTATGTACTGATGAAATTCTAATTCCATAAGGAATCAATAATTACGGGTTATAGTTCTATGGTAGAGAACTTCCCCAGCATGTGTGAAACTCTTATGTACAAATCCCATCACCACAAAAAAAAAATCTTCTATCATTAACCATGTAACCACTATTACAACTTTTTTTATTATTTTGTTTTAGAAAAGTAATACACAGAAATAGCCTGGGGTTGGAATCAGGGTGGGCCCATGTCTTGCTTGGGAAAGCAAAGAAGACAGGATTCCTTTATATCTACAACAGCTGCCTCAGACACCACACGGAAGCTTCATAACACAATGAAAGGTCAAAAGAAAAAAGGACATGGGAAAGCAAAAACAGGTATGTATGATCCTTGGTGCTGGAACCCTTGTCCCCATATGAATGAAGGATGAATCAGCATGGCCATGGCACCTAGCCCCTTTTCCCCAGCTCCCGAGTCAAGTTCTATAGAAGCACGACAATGGTGTCCTGGTGAGGAAGAGGTAACTTCTTATTTACCTTTTATAGCTATGTCAGACAGAAGATCAGAGATGTCAACTCTTGCCACAAAGGAGTCCTGCAAACAAAATGACACAGGGAAGGAGGTGCATGATGATAGTATTTGTTTGGCAAAAAAAGGTACACAGGAACTCTTTCTAAGCCACCTTTGTAGATGGAAGTTAGGGGACAAACTTCTTAGATATCTTCAGATGGTACATGCAAACTCCACAATGTGTGTGGGAAGGGAAGAGCCCAGCACTGGCAAAGCAGGCCCGGCTCATGTGCGGGTCTTCTCTTCCTGCAGCTCTACAAGCCAGCAGCATTAGGACTGCCGTGGATGGCTCGGCAGGGGATGCCCCTGACCACAACTCCAAAAAGAACAAAGGACAAAGAGAAAGAAAACTGGAAAATGTCATGATCAGTATGTGCCTACATGTCCCTTGACATTCATGTCCCAGTATGAGTGAAACAGCCTGCCTACCATGAAGAGTCCCTCCATCTTCCCAAACTGTTCAAAATCAAGTTTTGCAGGGCCATAGCAAAGATGTCCTCGTGAGTCAGGACATTATTTCCTTGGTCACCTTTGTAGCTATGGTAGATAGAAGACCAACAGATTCCTCTGTCTCCATAGGGGTTTCCTGTAGACACAATGATCCAGAGAAACAGGATCCAGAGAGTAACTGGTGTTTGGCAAAGAATAGTACATAGTAACTCAATTTCTAGTCTCCTCTGTGGATGAGTGAAAGCCATTTCTTGAGACTTCATCAGATGTCACATGGGATTATGAGAAGAGAAGAACTCTGCCATGTCCAGGTTGTCCCTCTTGTGGTCATGTGAGGTCTTCTCTTCCTGCAGATCCAGAAGACATCATTCTTATCTCCAGTGTTGACTCTCCAGGGGGTGGCCCTGAGCAGAGACCCATAAACAACAGTGGGCCAAGAAAAAGGAAACTGGAGAATGTCCTGACCGGTATGTGTCTGCATACCTGTTGACATTCATGTCCCAGTATGAATGAAACAGCATGGCCACTATGCAGAGTCCCTCCATCTACACATGTTGTTCAAAATCAAGTTCTACAGGGCCATAGCAAGGGTGTCCTGGTGAGCCTGGACATCACTTCCTTGGTCACCTTTGCAGCTATGGTAGATAAAGATCAACGAATTCTTCTGTCTGATAGGGGCTTTTTATAGACAGAATGATCCAGAAAAAGAGGCACCAGAGATCATCTGGAGCTTGGCAAAGAACAGTACATAGTAACTCAATTTCTAGTCTCCTCTGTGGATGAGTGAAGGCCATTCCTCCCAGACTTCTTCAATGTCACATGGAATTATGAGAAGGGAAGAACTCTGCCATGACAGGTTGTCCCTCTTGTGGTCACATGAGGTCTCCTCTTCCTGCAGATCCAGAAGACAACATCATTCTTATCTCCAGTGATGACGCTCCAGGGGATGGCCCTGAACAGCAGGCCAAGAGCAAGAAAGTCCAGAAGACAAAGTCACAGGCGGATGTCAAAGCAGGTATGTGCCCATCTTCCCTGGACACTGTGGTCTCTGTTTGAAGAGCCAGTTGCAGTCAAGTGACTACTTTTACTCTGTCTTCATGAAATGAACAATTCATGAGTAATGATCAGGATGTGGCCAGGATTCTCACTGTCCATCCACACTTACTGAGAAGATTCTGTACCCACAGATACCCAGGAAAGCAGACTGCAGGCCTCAGGCACATTCACCTCTGAAGCCACCCTTGGAGTTGCCTCAGAGCTGAAGTTCCCCAGGAGGAAGAAGAGGAACATATGGACTGTGGACCATATCGAGGGAACAAAACTCACAGTAAAAAAGAGAAGACTCAGTTACCGGCCTGAGGATCTTGAAGCCTTCTACCAAATTCTGGGTGGGTTCTCTGAACTCAGAATTGGACTCAGGATTGAATACTTAGGGCCAAGTCTCAAATTGAGAATAGGGTGTAGGGAGCTGTACTTAAAACCTCCCCAGAATGCTCATGGGTCTCCAGGTAACACAGATGAAGGCCCACTTGTTTTCTGGAGCTTTCTCCTTTCTCTGACAAGTCCTTAGAGAGGAGAAACCAGGCTCACATGTGGGTATTGAAGTAATGGTGCTTCTCTACTCATAGACCAAGTTCAGGACTCAAGATGGTAGAGACTGGAGAATGAGGAAATGTCACTCAACCCTGCTTTGGTCATGCACTAGCCGGGAGTCACCAAAACAAAACAAAAAACTAAACATTTACAAAATAAATTTGCTCTTAGCTCTTGACAGCTTCACAGGAAAGGTTCAGAAGGCCATGGCACCTAGAGGTGGGACAGCAAGAAGGCAGGAGATCTCTATGGCACTAGTAAGGCACAGAAGGTCTCTCTAGGTGGTATCAGGTCATAGATCTGGGACCAAGTGTGGCAGATTGTGAACAACACCCAGGTGCTCTACCCAGTACAGCATCTACCAGTCACAGGCAGTTGTTTACTTTGTGTTAAATGAATTAAACAGATGATGTACGTTCAGTTCCCTGATCTCATCAGTTGTGATTCTGTGTTCAGGGCCTACACGTGGCTGTGGGTTGTCATACTGGATGGTAGAGGACAGGATGCCCTAACACCTTGAGAACTCTCTCAGACAGAGCCCTCTAGGGGTCAGGGACATTGCAGAGGACCCATGTGGTGCAAGGACTATTTGCCTGGCAGCCGGTGAAGCACACACAGGACCTCCCAAGGGGCATGTCTTTGTTAGAAAATAGTGCCTCCAGGAAGGACCTCAAAGACAAATGAATTCCTGTGGAGCAGGGGAATCTGGTCTCTACCTCAGAGGGAGAGGAGACCCAGGGTAGTGGGATGTTGGGAGGCTGTGAGCATGGAGCTAGAAACTCTCCATCTTTGCCCAAGGATTCCGTCATCATCCAGAGCAGGGGAACTTGGTACAGTCACAATATGGTAAATGGGAAGACAGTGGGGTAATGATCTAGGCCCCACATAAGGTTTTGAGTGAAGTAAAATTTAACATTGAGAGACATGTTAAATTCCTTCAGTGAAGAAAAGTATCAAATGCCATCATTGACCAAGCTCAGGAATCAACAACACTAACATCAACACGTAAAAGCAACATGGGTGAGTCAATAACAGGAACAAACTGTGGTTTTGATAGAAAGGTTAAGACCTTAAGAGAGGTCCTGCTTCCTCTCGGTATTCATCTCAGGGGGCAAGGTCTGGAGGCCACACATTGCTGACAAAGATCCCCCCACAATCATACACATGGTCCACCAGATGGGAGGTTCAAGTCTCTCTCATGCTTGCTTTCTTTGCAGAGGATCCTGTGGTCCAGAATTTTTTGGCAGCTGACATTTTCTTCAGGGTGACCGACAAGGTATCTGGAACTTCAAATATTCTGTAGTCACTTCCCTAAGGGATACACAGAAAAGATCAGACTGTACTAGGCCAGGATAACCCAGGACTGCGCTCCAGGACAGAGGCAGCAGAGACATGCTGCCCATCCCTATTATAGCCCCCAAATTCCTTCCTGGTTTTCCAATTAGCTCACTTCCACAAATCAAATGTGTTCCACTCCCCCTTTCTGTGTATAATTTGGAGCTTCAGAAGATCCAGGCCCCACTGAGATTTCCTGCCCTCTTGTCTACTGCCTGCCTTCCCTCACCCGCTCTCTTTCCACACAGTACCTGCTGTCCATGGTGGTGGAGTACTTTGGCCGACTCGGGCTGCCTGGACATCTCTACAACAGGATCCACTTCTTCCTGGCCCTGTGAGCATCACGAGGGAACCAATTTGTCCTCACCCCCATCAGGACTAAGTGTTGACCCTCAGTCATAGAGTAGTTGAGCTGCAAGGGACTACTAGGTCAGGGAGGGAAGAGAAGGTCTTGACATCAGTAAAGTATTAAGAATAAGTAAACAGAAGGTACCTTTTCCTGGGCTGAGAAGTGAATGGGTCCTGCAGGCATTGTACCAGGGTGCCCTGTGATGGTCTAGACCAAAGTTACCCTGCACAGACTGCTTCCCCACCCTGTCTTTAGAACTTCATGCTCCCCCACCTGGCTTCCACTGTCACAGTTAGGAAGGAACATGTACTTCCCCTTTCCTGTGGCAGCTACATCGCCTGTGACATGGAAGAGGATGACCCCATATCCAAGAGGAGCATCTTTCAATTCCTGCTGGGCACAGACACATGGCAGGACTTATACAAGGACTTCCAAAGGCTGCAGGGGGAGTTCCTCCAAGTCATAGATTACCGAGCCTGGCTCACACGACAGGAGTGTGAAGAGGTCTGCCAGGGATTAGCAAGGGGAGGGGGTAGACAGGGTGCTTCCCAGAGAACACGGATGGGTCCATCCTCCTGGGCTCACCTCTCATTTCCCTTTCAGATCCAGAACCAGAACCCACACCACTGGGTCTGGAGCCGGGTGCGACAGAGCGCCCCTTAGGTTCCCAGGCCTGGGGACCATCAGCAGGTTAGTGGAGGTCCTGGCCAGGGGCTCCACATGCAGGGACTAGCCAGGGTTCCTGAAGCTGTAATCTGGTCATTTGTGGACATAACAAGGAGCTCTGCTGCCACCTATCTTGGAGTTTTCTCTTAGAGGGCAACATGTGGGCATGTGAGCACTGCTGAGTTGCAGAAAGTGCTTAAATTCCAATTCTCCAACTGGATTGCATCACAGGACCACGCAATTCATGACGTAAGGTTTCAATTTGCGTGTCCCTTTTTCTTGTGTGTGTGTATGGTTTTTTTTTTTTTTTTAATTAGCAGAAAAAAAAATTGAACTCAACGTTGTCTAGGAAATAACCCCTGTTTGAGCTCTGGTGATATTTGAAAATATATCTAGATGAGAAACACTGGAGTAACCTACTCTGGAGAAGAGACTCTCACCGTGTGGCTCTTAGGAAAGAAAAGAAATTTGAACCTCTGCTCCTAGATTTTGTATGTTTAGCTCCTACATGAAGGGAGGTTCACTGAGCTGGGTCCATGAAAGACATGATCAGGCCACATTTCCATGGACAAATGAAGTCATGGGATCACTAGTCTCTGTAAACAGTGAGAACACTGGGAAAGAAAAGTAGGGAGCAGGCAGGGAATTCCGAGAGCAAGTCCTAACCATGACACAGCAGAAACAACCCTGTCTGGCATCATATGCCAAAGCGCACTTCATTTAGTTGAAATTCCCTTTTCTATTTGGATTTACTCCAAGTGGGGAGAGAACTCTAGTGAAATGCTTAAGTGTCTCTTCTTCCAGGCATATGGTTGTGCTAATTTAACTCACTAAATATCCTGCCATGCTACAGCCCCATCTGTCCCTGCGGATCAAGAATGTCAGTGTAAAGATGACATGAGGGGCCCTGCACTATAAGATAAACCCAGTTTAGTGGAAAGTTTACCTCATCCCCAGCACTTTCCTAAAATGGCAAAACTCACTACATACATGTACACAAGGGATCTCGGGATTCCAAATCCAGTAGCAGTAGTCACGGCTACTTGGGTTTTGTCACTGGAGCCATGAGAAGTGACATGATCTTCCATAGTTTTTTCCACTATGAACTTTTGGTATGATGTACAGGGGTTTGCCTCTATTCTAATGACACTTTCTTTTTCTCTTTTTCTCCTTGTAGCTCCTGCTCACCCCTGCCATTTCCTCCCCTCCACAAGACACAAGAGCTTTTCCCTACGATACAAGTACCTGCAGAATTCCACATTCCACTCCAGGCTCTCCTTATACCTTCAGGATGAAGGATCCAGGAAGAGGATGTACAATGTGAAGCTGGTCAACAACACCTCCAACGGAGCTCAGGCTTCAGGACGGTAGCCTACAGAGGGCTGGCTCTACCTGGACTATCCTTCACTGGATTCCAAAACAACATTATCTTCAGGGATTGAGGACAGAACGCCACAATATCACACAAAGTTCAGGAGTCCTGGACCAGAGGAGGAAGAACTCAAGCCAGTCCAGGTTCTGAGCTGTAGCAGGGGACCTGGAACACAGAAGTGACTGAAGTCAGAGGATAAGGCCAGGTCTGCCTAATCAGCAAGCCCTGTCTGAAGGCGTAAGTCACAAACAATCCCACACCAGTTTGGAATTATGATTAATAGAATGGTTATTTATTCAAAGGGGAAAAAACTTACAGATTACCGTCCCAGACAACAGCCCCTCTGTGCAAACAGGAAAGGAGTCTAGGAGCCGGAAGCGGAGCCGGAAGCCAGAGAGAGAGTGGAGGACAGTCGCTGCTTTTTTAAAGAGAGAGAGACTACGCCCCAATGGGCTGGTATCTCAGCGGCTATTGGCTGAAGGAGCGGAAGGAGCTCCCGCAGCATCTCCTCCTTTTGTTTAAGTAAGAGAGTTCTAAGCCTACTACAAAATTATATACAATAAGTACAAACCTATGAAATTATATACAATAAATACAAATATCCTATTCTAACTAGCTTAAGTCTTGTATAACAAATAACTTGGCCAAGTCATGAGAGGAAAGTAACTACATTTATATAATCTTCAATCCCATCAAAGATCTGAGAAGGGAAATAATGTTACCTGCATAATTAGGAAGTACAATCAAACAACTTCCAGAACATGTACCAAATCACAGAGACAACTGGCTACCTGGGCAAACACCCAAAGTCACGTTTGCAGCGTTGAAGCAACCAACTTTGGCTAAGGCCTGATGTAACTGACATACCATTTTCAAAGGCAAGAAACTTTTCAAAACTATCTTACCCTGTCTTGGCAGGATATGACAGTCCTGTTTTATCCATTTACAGATATTCTGTAACTCTGTCAGTAGTTGAGGAATGGGCATTTCTTTACCCAAAGGTCAGTTCTGGCAAGAAGAAAGGCTCCAGGTGGAGTGTCTTTGGTGCTCAACATTCTCTCGGGAATAGATTGGTGTTGCCAGGAGCGATTGTGTCTCCCTATCACAGAGCTCTGAATTAGATTAAAGGCCATTTTCTACAGCTCTTTGAAGAGGTTGAAGATTATCTATCTATACTGAATATAATCTCTATGTATCTAAAGAACCTGATTAGTCTAATTATAAATGAAACTTGGATGACTATTGATCTATATAATTCTCAATACCTATCTAACTTAAAGACTGAGACAATAAACAACTGTGCAATAAATGAGGACAATATGACCTCCAAATATAAACAATGTGCAAGTATACATTGCAATATGGTAAATATATATATCAATACATAAACAATATATAAGTATCTTAATCAGAGGTAGAAGTGTACAATGCAATATGGTAAATATACATATACCAATACTATATATATATATATATATCAATACATAAAAATGTTTTAAACAGGGGTAGAAGCATGCATGCATAAAATAGTGAACATAATTTAACTTTGTATCAATATATAAGAATCTATACCAATATATTTGTCTAAAAAACAATAACTCACAAGTACAAATCTATTATCCCATAATCCAATTATCCCTCTTTTTTTTTTAAAGATTCCTGCACTTATAAAATTCCTCCCCCAACCCTCAACTGTATACTAATTATAACCAACCCCTAAATGATGTCCCTAAACCCAAGGACAAACTTTACTGGGAGAGGGGACGTCGTTCTCTAGAATTACTTCCAGCTGTCATGGGGGCGACGTTCTTTCTGGGGGATCCTGTGAAAGTAAAATGATGGTTAAATTTCAAGATCAATGTCTTTCAAAATTGCAAATAGTCTCTGAGTATTTTGTGGAGGTCTGGCCAGAATGTTGTACAAGATGTGCACCATTTCAGCTAACCACGTTGGAACCGTCTTGTGCAGCTGGTACCCAAAACAGGTCTTGTAGTAGCGCTATCAGTATCATGACATCATATCAACCAGGTGGAGTTGTTGTTATGGGGCCCCATCTTCTTCCTGGAAACTTCAAATGTCACTGCAGGAAAAACTCATTGTTCGTTGTGGAAAACTTAAACAGTAATCATATAGACATATACAGACATACAAATATTCAATGAAAGACATGATAGATATATTTAATGAAAGGTATGATAGAGAAGAAGAAAAGTAAAGATGTTTTCTAAACTCATATTTCTTTCTGTCCCATATCATGGCTCTTGACATGAGACAGAAACTCTGGGTTTTTCTTTTAACAACAGGCTTGGAATTAGAGAGGGACTGAGCCAGAGTCCAACTCTAAAACCAGCTCTACAAATTTAGAAATATGATTTAGTATATTTTACTTACAGAACCTATTCAGTTTTCTTGATAGTCCCTATTGGGCCGTTATTGTCCATCTGTCAGTATTCAAATATCCAGGGTCCCTTGAATTTTTCAAAGATGAGTGTTTTCCTGTGGAGATAAGAACAGAACCCTGCCCCATTCTATATGTTTTTCTTACCACCTGTATGAATAAAATCATTGTAGATGAGCTGTCATTTCTCCTTTCCAAGAGGTTTCTCCTCTTCAAATCGAACTTTTATTAATTTTGATGGTATCCACAATTTTTCTTCTCCTGTGGAAACAAGAGAAAAACCCCTTCCCCAACGTAGCACATCTCCTGGCTTCCATTGAGAGGTCAACATGTCTTTGAAATAAACAGGTTGGTTTAGTTCAGAAGTTTTTTCCATTATCCAATGTCTCTCTGCTGCTGTTGTTCCTTTCTCATTAGCATTAAGAAAATTCAAGGTTAATAAAGCATTATGCAATCTATTTCTGGGGGTATCTTTCGTCCCTTTCTGTTTGTTTAGCATATCCTTTATAGTATGATTTGATCTTTCTATAACTGCCTGACCTGTAGGATTATTTGGTATACCTGTAACATGTTTTATATTATAATAAGCAAAGAAGCGTTTCATTTTCTTAGATACATATGCTGGACCATTGTCTGTCTTTATTTGTGCAGGTATACCCGTGATGGCCATAACTTCCAATAAATGTGTGATTACTGAATCAGCCTTTTCTGAGCTCAGGGCAGTTGCCCATTGAAAACCTGAATACGTGTCTATGGTGTGGTGTACATATTTTAATTTACCAAATTCCATAAAGTGAAACACATCCATCTGCCAGATTTCATTCCTTTGAGTACCCTTTGGGTTACTCCCTGCAGGCAACGGTGTTTGATTATAGAAAGAACAAGTAGGACATCTCTTTATAATGTCCTTAGCTTGTTGCCATGTAATGGAAAACTCTTTCTTTAAGCTTTTACTATTGACATGATGTTTTTTATGAAATTCTGAGGCCTGCAACACGCTTCCAATTAATAATTGGTCAATTTCAGCATTACCTTGTGCTAGACGGCCAGGCAGACCGGTATGGGACCGGATGTGTGTTATGTACATTGGACAAAGCCTATTCCTAATTATATCCTGTACCTGGATAAACAATGAAGTCAACTCTGTGTCATCTGGTATGAATTCAGCGGTTTCAATATGCAAGATAACTCTTTCTGCATATTATGAATCTGTAACTATATTAAGAGGTTCTTTAAAATCCCTTAGCACCATAAGAATGGCATATAATTCTGCCTTCTGGAGAGAATTATAAGGGCTTTGTTCCACCTTACTCAATTATTCTGATTTGTAACCTGCTTTCCCTGATTTATTTGCATCGGTATAAAATGTCCGGGCTCCAGATATTGGAGCATCACGTACAATTCTAGGAAGAATCCAAGAAGTTCTCTTTAATGAGGTTAAGTCTATCACTTTTGGGATAGTTGCTGTTAATTTCTCCCAAAAAATTAGCTCAAGCTCTTTGCCATGGTTCATTATCTTCCCATAACTTTCTTATTTCCTCAGTAGTAAAAGGCACTATAATTTCTGCTGGGTCTATACCTGCTAGTTGACGAAGTCTCGGTTTACCTTTTATAATTAATTCAGAGACCTTTTCTACATAAGTTTTTAATTTTTTACTTAGTTTATGAGGTATAAATATCCACTCTAAAATAATATCTTCCCTCTGCATTAAAATCCCTGTAGGAGAAATTCTGGAAGGCAGTATGACTAGAATGGAACTAAGATTCGGGTTCACCCTATCCACATGTGCCTCCTGTAATTTTTCCTCAATCATTGTCAGTTCCTTTTCTGCTTCAACTGTCAATTTTCTGGGACTATTCAAATCCTTATCACCATCTAAGATTTTGTTTAAATGACCTATTAGATCAGGTGTTATCCCAACAGCTGGTCGTAGACTGGAAATATCTCCTAACAATCTTTGGAAGTCATTAAGAGTCTGTAACCAGTCTCTCCTAATTTGTGCCTTTTGTGTTCGAATTTTCTCTAACCCTATTCTGTAACCTAGGTAATTAATAGAATCTCCTCTTCGAATCTTTTCAGGGGCAATTTGTAATCCCCACCTAGGCAAGACTTTCTTTACTTCTTCAAACATACTTTCCAAAATATCTTTATTTGAATCAGATAATAAAATGTCATCCATGTAATGATAAATTATGGACTTGGGAAATTGCTTACGAATTATTTCCAATGGCTTATTAACAAAACATTAACACAATGTGGGACTATTGAGCATCCCCTGGGGGAGGACAGTCCATTGATATCTCCTAGTAGGCTGAGAATTATTATAAGTAGGCAGTGTGAAGGCAAATTTTTCTCTGTCCTTTTCTTGCAAAGGTATAGTGAAAAAACAATCTTTCAAATCAATAACTATAAGAGGTCATCCTCTTGGTAATAGAGAAGGCAAAGGAATTCCAGATTGTAGAGGACCCATAGGTTGAATTACCTTGTTGACAGCTCTTAGATTTGTCACCATTCTACATTTACCAGATTTCTTTTTTTACAACAAACACAGGAGAATTCCAAGGGCTGGTTGATTCTTCAATATGGTTAGCATCTAGTTGCTCTTGTACCAGCTGTTCCAAAGCCTGTAATTTATCTTCAGCTAGAGGCCACTGCTTGATCCATATTGGCTTCTCAGTTAGCCATTTTAAAGGTAGGGCTGTTGGTACCTCTAAAGGTTTGCTATTGGCTGTATGTTCTTGTACAGCCTGAATGGCTGGTGATCTTTTCCCATAATACCTCATTATATCCTTCCCAGAATTGTGAGTTCCTGGAACTACAGGAATGTTAGTCTGGGTATTCCATTGCTGTAGCAGGTCACAACCCCATAAATTTATTGCAATATTGGCTATATATGGCCTTAG